GTGTTATCAATGGCCTCAAAAATGTGAACATCTTTGACCCTCAAAGTGCCTTTTCAGGAACCCATTTTCTGTGGAAGTCCTTTCATATTTAGGCAAAATTTCATGCACAGAGGTGTTCACTGAAACAATGAGTTTTAAAACTCACCTAAAAATAATTAGCAAGTGAAATCTCCCAAATAAGTCCACAGTAAAGTAAAATACAGCAAATCCATATAATGGAACATTAGGCAGCCATTTTTTGAGTGTGTAAGGAAATGGAGAAACATTTATGTGTAACATAAGGTGAAAAGTCACGATACAAAGTTATATTGCATTATGAACCTATTCAAGTTAAAAATGCATTTAGAGAAGACCAGAATGAAATATGCTAACAATGGCCAGTGCCTTGGAGTAATGGGATCAAGGGTGATCCTTGCCCCTTCCTCCCACAAACTTTAAATCTTTGGGGAAATTTTCCAAAAACACCTAAGGCACTGTATTTCCCTAAAGGGAAATGGGAAAAGACAGTGTGGCTACTTAACTCCCATGCAACAGTAGCAAACTCCTAATCTGAGGTGTCACTCTGGGCTTTTTTGAAATTATAATGTCCCTATCATTGCAAAGCTATCACCACCTCCAGAATGAAAACCGATTAATATATGTGGTCCACATTTATTACACAGTTTAAATGACATAATATAAATCAAGTCTAATGTGCATTTTAGAGGGAAAAAAACTATTATTTTTTTAAAGATACACAGGATAAAAGATAAAAGCCACTCTGCCATTTACCCAGACCTTTCACAGACAATAGCTCAGTAAAACAGAGCAGCCAGTAAGACAGACAGACAGGCACTGGTACAATGCCCATTTTACAGGTGAGGAAATGGAGGTGGACAGAACCACACACTCCAGGCATCAGGGTCTCCCTCTGATTTTTGACTTCAAGTCTAAGGCCCTGACTTAAGGCGTGGTGCTCTTTCTACCATATCATGCCATGACCTTGTTAACTTAGTGATGCTTTATAAACATCTTAGAATAAAAAGAATTTTCTTCCTCAAAAAAATAGTTTAGTAATAATAAGCACAAACTTCACAATCAAATAGATCTGACTCAACAGACTCAATGCCAAAATCCAACTTACACGAGTGATTTTTCAATTTCTCAGAGGCCCAATTTCCTCATCTACAAACACAGAAATAAAATTACGTATATAACTGACAGGAAATTCATTGTAAGAATGAAATGATTTGGGTACTTAGACTACTGCCTGCCACAAAACAGGTAATAAACAACACTGAATTCATTTTTCCTAAAAGAGTAAAGTGTCTACCGTGTACTAATGTCAAATTCTAATTTGTTTTTATAAAGCACACCAGAATTAATAATATACCTGCTTTCAGCAGCACACCAAATCTTTGCAACCACTGAAGTGTCATAAATTATTAGGAACCACTCAACCTAATAGTTTATACAATGACAATTTAATTTTTTCTTTTTGTCAGCTTTAAATCATTGCTCTATTGTTCCAATAAGTCATTAAACTTCAACACTAGGGTCAAAGAATTATTTTTAAAGAAACAATAAAATTTCTTGTTTCTTCACTTGGGGCTTTGGTCTCTCACATTCAAATTCAACTATTCAAACTTCCAAAGAGATTCATTTCATTTCCTTTTTTGGAGGGGGTCGGAGCAGGGAATTGACAGACGCTTCTCAAATTTTTCATTTCCTTTTGAAATTAAATTTAGACATGGAATCCCAAGCTCCAAGGTGTGCTTTTTCTAAACTTTCCAAACACTATGTATTATGCGGCTGTGCAGCTTCACAGCTACCTGGCTAAAGGATAACCCAGAATTTAATAAAGCTTATCTTTAGCATCTAAAAAGGAGTCAGAATGCTGGATGGAAGCCCAGAGCCCAAGGACAACGTATTTCTCATCTCATCAGCCCCAGGACCTCTTCCACCCACTACTTACTAAAGGGCCATGCCCACTGTCTGAGAGAGAAACTAATAAGCCCAAAGATTGAGTAATCAGAGAACTTAAGGACATAAATAAGCCAAGATGTGGAAAATCATCCCTTTGAGCACTTGTGGTATATAGTTTCGAAAGCTGCTGCTAAGAGCCAAGTTTAACGAGATTCTCCTACTAAGAAGTGAAAAAGGCATTGCCACTGCCCACCGTGAAGCTATGTGCCCTTCTTTTCTCTACTTAACAACTTCTAATAACCACATGCTTACAATTTTATGATGTTCTAAACTCTCTATCTTGGAATCTCAGTGAGATTGCTGAGGTTGACTCATATTCTATTTTTTCTCTGCAGAGCAATGGGATACAGTGGAAAGAGAATGAACTTTGGAATCGAGCAGTCTGGGTTATCCCAGATAAAGATATATATAAAGGTACACACATACAAAGACACCTACTGGTTCTTCTTCTCTGATTGAATGCCGACAGGCATAGTACCTATGTGATGTTCAGCCAACTGTTTAACCACTCTTGCCTCCGTTGTCTTACTGGGAATAAGTAGTGCATAGGGTTATGAGCAATGAGTTGAAAAATGCATATGAAGGCTGGGCACGGTGGCCCACGCCTGTAATCCTAGCACTTTGAAAAACCAAGGAGAACGGATCACTTGAGGTCAGGAGTTCGAGACCAGCATAGCCAACATGGTAAAATCCTGATTCTACTAAAAATACAAAAATTAGCCAGGCATGGTGGCAGGCGCCTGTAATCCCAGCTACTTGGGAGGCTGAAGCAGGAGAATCACTTGAACCTTGGAGGTGGAGGTTGCAGTGAGCCAAGATCATGCCACTGCACTCCAGCCTGAGAGACAGAGTGAGACTCAGTCTCAAAAAAAAAAATTTTTTTTTAATTGTAAAATTAAAAAAATTAAAATGCATGTAAGTACTCAACCCAAAGCCCAGCACACAGCAGGCACTCAACATTATTTCCCATTTCTTTCTCTCTACTTCCCTATGCTCAATGTACAAATATTAACATCATCTTTAGTTCCAAGGGGATCAGATGTTGGCTGGTCAGAACATCTTCTCTTTACACAGGCCTCAAGACATTGGCAAATTTGTGCTCTGCATCCGTTCCTTTTTAGACACGTGTTTCTTCTTCTGCATTAACTTCCATCAAAAACAAACAAACAAACAAAAAGGCTTTCATGCAATTAGATGAGGGCTTTCATCTTTCACATTCCAGTCCTGAGACCTGGGTGTTGCTCAGAAGTCAAACAAAACACACACCCACTCTAGGGATGGATTTCTCCTGCTGATGGCTTATTACATGCATCATGTGCTGAATTTTTAACAACTTTACTCCCAGATTGAGCTCTTCCCCAAATTCTGGAGCAACTGACTCTAACCCTCTAAGGAATGTGTCCAACCTCACATCCAGCTGGATCCTGACTATGCACCTATGTGTCCAAGCAATGAAACAGAGGATAAAAATCAAAATGAACCAGCCAGGCACAGTGGCTCATGCCTGTAATCCCACCACTTTGGGAGGCCAAGGTGTGAGGATCACCTGAGGTTGGGAGTTCGAGACCAGCCTGATCAACATGGCAAAATCTTGTCTCCACTAAAAATACAAAAATTAGCCTGGCGTGGTGGCATATGTCTGTAATCCCAGCTGGTTGGGAGGCTGAGGCAGGAGAATCGCTTGAACCAGAGAGCTGGAGGTTGCAGTGAGCCGAAATCGTGCCACTGCACTACAGTCTGGATGACAGAGTGAGACCCTGTATCAAAAACGAAAAATAACCACACAAATTGTCCCATCCAATAAAACATGTCACTAGCTACCATCTACCCAGGGTGGATGGCTAACAGAAATAAGGGCCTGCTAAAAACACTCAGGAGACATACTATCCATCAAAACACTCATGAGACATACCATCCATCTTGTTCCCTTCCTAACCTGCTCTGGTTTCTATGAAAAAGCGAAGGCCAAAGTGTTAAGTCAGTGTAAAAGTTGTAAGCAACTGAAATGTTCTCAGGAGGAAGAGTTCATGAATGTTTATGGAGGAGACAGTCACTGTTAAAAGGCTTCCAGTTACTTATTATTTGGACCTAAAGAGGAGATACCCCTGAGGTCAAGCTTGGAAGAGCTTGCTGATGTCAGACTCCAGGCTGTAGTAACCCTAAATGGCCAAGTAAGTATACCTGTTTGTTTTTTTTTTAAACTGCTGTGGTTAGGTGGCCATTAAGAGGGGAAGCGGTGGTAAGGAATCCTTAGTGTCTGTAATTATAAAAGCAAAAGTGGACATAGGACTTCCATAAAAGTTACACCTCCTCTTAAGATTGATTTCAATTAAAAGCTGCTGCACCGTTGATGACACTTTAGCATCTCTGTTGGTGGCTTCCTGCCCTGACCACACAAGGTTCCTTTCGTGATGACAAGAATCAACACAAAGAAAAAAATGTTAAGTTTACCAACACGCCTTCCGTTTTGTCGAGCCTGATTTATCCAGGATACATGGGAAGAAATGTGGACTCCTTGACCGGTTGCAAGAATCTATCAACCACTATAATAAATAGAAACTTGGAAAGAGATAGTCCTCTAGGCTTTAGAATATTTTAAGGTATTTTAAAGGGAGAGGGAGGCACAGAGAGCGCACCCGGTGCTCTGTGTCACGATCTTCGGCTCGAGGCGCCTTTGAGGACAAGGGCGGCGGGAAAGGGGTCCGCGGGGTTCCGAGGCGCGTGGTCATGGAGAACGCGCCCCCGAGGAAGGCCTGGTGCCTACGCCCCGCACAGCTCAGGGCTGGGGGGACACAGGTCCTCGGAGGAGGCCCGGGGAGGGAAGGCGGGAGGGGAGGGACGGGAGCCATTGCCACGCACCGCGCCCTGCCCGGACCGCCCCGGGACAGCCAGTTGTTCAGCGCCGGGATCCCGCGGCTGTGCCAGGACGCGGGCACCTCGGGGCGCCGCGGGGCTGCCGTCCCGACCCCTCGCTTCCTCTCGCGCTGCGGGGACCCGGCTCAGCACCGGCGCCCCGGGCCCGACCGGGCACTCACCCGGAGCCACCAGCGGCGAACTCACGGCGCCTCCCACGAAGACAGCAGCGGCGAGGGCGGCGGACCCCGGGAGTGCCCGCTGAGCCATCGCCGCGTCGTTTCGTCCTCCTCTCCCAGGGCGTCGCGTCCCGCGCTCCGGCCGGCTGCGCCGCTCCAGAGCCGGCGGGCGGATCCAGTGGCCGGGCTCGGCCCCAGGAAGCGGCGAACCCCGCCCCGCTACGGCTCCGCCCTCTTCCCAGCCCACGCCACACCCACTTTGGCTCGGTCCCGCCTCTCTCCGCTAGCCCCGGGCTCCACCTAAGCCGGCACGAGGCCCACTCATGGCTCCGCCCCTGACGCCCCGCCCACCTCAATCTCATTGCGCCTCTCCCTGCCAATCCTGCTTCCTTTCCAAATCCGGCGGCAGCCTCAGCGGCGCAGCTAGGCCGTGCACACGCCCCCTGCCCCACCCAACTCGGCTCGGCCCCGCCTCTCCCTGCCGCGCCCCGGGCTCCGCCTAAGAAGGCACGAGGCCCATCCATGGCCCCGCCCGTGACCCCGCCCACTCCTCAGCCTGACCCCGCCTCTCCCTGCCGCTCCCGCTTCCTTTCCAAACCCGGCAGCTGCCTCGACGGCGCAGTTAGGTTATAGCCCCGCCCTAGCGTCCCGCCCACCGGGGCTCGGCCCCGCCTCTCCTAGCCACGCCCGCTTCCTTCCCAAATCCGGCCCGATTACGCGGGAGCCTGGGGCGAGGGAAGGGTCGCCCGGGAGCAGCCTCCCTCTGGCGCTGGGACTGGGCGGGCGTGGGAAGAAAAGGAGGGAGCGCGCCCAGAGAAGCACTGGGCGGCCAGAAGCGGCCAGCACTAGAGTGAGGACGGTGTTTTTTCGTTGTTGACATCTCTATCCAGCTAGCATTCCCCTCGGTTACAGGTCTAGGGAGTAATACTGGGCCGGACGTCACGTTGTTGTTTGGAAATTTAATAAAAAAGATAAATCACTTAAATTTCTTCCTTTGTTTGCATTTAAGCTGCTCCTATTGGGGAAAATACCTCTATGCATTTTCAGGACCAACTTGCCTTTTTTTTAAATCGTGTGCCTCTATTGCATCTTGCACATACTCATGCAAAGTAGGTCTTCCAGTACCCAGGCACTTCTTATCTCCGCATCCTCACATTAGCTCTGCGAGGTGACTATTAGAGGCCAGGGAGTAAACCCACGATGTCTGGGCCACCATGATCAATTGTAATTATCTCATTGTCATTGTGTTTGCTGGCTGCTGTGCCCTCAGCACACGGATGGAGGACAGACAGCACACGCTAAGAGGTGAGAAGTGTTTTTTGAAATTGAATCATCTTCACAAGCATTGATAGGCCTCAGAAACTCTCTCTGAATAGTTCCTTTTTACCTCCCTGTAGAGACTCCTTTTACTGGGCCATCAAGCAATTTCTTGAAGAAAATGCGGGCAGGCCTTGAGCAAACACTCGACACCAGCAAGGAGAGGGGCGCGTGGGGGCTGTGGGTTTTCACAGAATGGGTCTCATCCTTGAGGTGACTAATAGCCTCTGGTTTTCAGAATACTATTTATTTTCTCACCGAGTCTTTCACGCAGTCTGCTTGACTATTATTATAAACATTGCGTTGATGTGGGAATTGCCAGTGACGGAAGCTCGGACCACTACAGTACAGATGGCTGGGGCTGAAGGATGGAGTCTCTGCCCTTTGAAGCCTAAGGAGGGCACTGTGTGCCCTGCGCTCAGTTGGCAGCGCATCCTGCCGTCTGGCAGGCTTAGCAGGCAGCTTTTGCTAGCTTTGTATCAACATAAACACTGAGAATGGATGCAGAGGAAATCGATGCATGTGGGTTTCTAACTAAAAAAAAAGGAGAGAATCCTGGACCTAGAAATTAAACTATAAATTAAAAGTTGTAGCCAGAACCAGCTACATCATTTGCAGGGCACACGGCAAAATGAAAAGGCAGGGCCTTTTTTTCAAAAATCATTGAGAATTTCAAGATGGCAACAACACACATTGAATCAATTGTGGAGCCCTCTTAAACACACAGACCTGCACAGATCACACACTTACAAAGCCAGTTCTGCTTTTGTAAGTTAGAATGTAAGAAAATGCTTGAATCAAGAAAGCTATTCAAAATGTAAAATGTCATTTCAAAATTGAATCGTGTTTCACTCTTTTCCCACAGATTGAACTTACTATGAAAAAGACAGGATTGTTTTGAACAACACATTGGAATTGTATGTCTATTACGGCTCTTCAAATATAAAAAATGCAATCTAGTACTTAAACCTTGCCCATTATCTACCAGGCCTCTTGTTTTACGGAAGAGAGATGGCTAAGCGATCTGCCTGACACCCAGGGCTCTGAAATTTCTCTTCCTAAACTTTCCATAACACCTGCTTGACACTCTCTATAAATGTCTAACTTTTATATACTCCATATACGTGCATTTGTATGTCTTGTTAAAGGAATGAAGGAAGGGTAGGAGGAAGAGAGGGAAAAAAGTGAAGAAGAGAAGGAGAGAAGAAAGAAAGAAAATGAAGCTTAAATTACTTTCCATATCCTTAATCCTACAGATGTATTCATACAATTTAAATAGCTTCTATGTATGTATATCCAAAAATTCACTGTTTTATTTTAAAAGAACTCCAGTGTAATGGAAGTTCTATTCTGTATTATGAAGGGGATGTCATATTTCCTCCAAGGAAATAAAATGGAAATTTTAAAACTAAGTGATATTTCCATTTTTTTAAGAAATAAAAGTAGAGCTTTAATAACTCTTAATAACTGTCATTAATTAATAATGATAACTCTCATCCAGCCCTTAGATTTAGCCCAATCCTACAATGAGTACTCTTTTTGTATTCTTTCAATTCCTCACAACGATTTCATGTTTAGGGAATCATTGTTAACAATCCTCGCTTCAAAGCTGAGGGATTAGGGCATTTACCTGAGTCACATGCCACTCCCTGGCACCACCAGGATGCAAATCCAGGATCAGCTCCCTCAGGCCCACACTTGCAACTCCTCTTACACTATTCTGCCTCTGAAATGCAGAACACTAGTCAACCAGCTCCTCTGTTGCAATCTAAAGTCTTGTCCCCATATTCCTTCATTGTATGTTTAATCTAGCTTTTTTGAACTCTGTTTTGACAATTGCTTACATATTTTTTCCTCAATGAGAATAATTTATTAATTGATGGGAATGGATTGTAAGTCAGAATGCATAGGATTAAATTTACAATGTATAAAATGTGATGTCCTTTCTGATTTGTGTTGTTTTCAGTCTCTCTGTAAGGATTCAGTTAATCATTTCCCCTTAGTAGAAACCTTTCCTGTTTTCCTCTGAACTGCTAAGCTGGTATTTTCATCACCATCATTTAAATGCGTAAGACTCAGTTGGCTGGTAGTTACTCTAATTAATGTTGACATGCTTCCGCAGAAGGTCTCTGTAGGATTTCTTCTGTGATTTCAATGTACTCATCTCTCCTTTTGAGAGGTTATATCCAGGACATAAGCTTACATTTCTTTTTTAAAAAAATAAGTCTGCATGGGAATAAAATATTTTACACAATCTGGGGCTACTTAGATATGATGACAAATATGTGCTGTGTTCCTAGTACCGGGCTGAGGGTGAGGGGATGGAGGGGAGAGTCGCTACAAATTTAAGAAAAAGATTCTAAATTTGCTTTTAAAGTTGTAAACCTACCTGGGAGAAAGGAAGCAGCTGCATAGGTGAACAGAAATGGCCAACGGCCCAGGGGCCAGGGGACACATCCCTCCTAAAGATTCACTCACTCTGTGACTCTCCGCAGGTTCTTTTGCGTTGGTCTTCTAACCTATAAAATCCAGGATGATAGGATAATTTCTAAAGGTTCCCACCAGCCCTAAGATTCTATACCATGAGTAATCAAATGATAGGGAATGCTAAGTCAGGCTACACTTCAGGGTTTCTCAACACTAGGGACACTGTTGGTCCAATAATTCTTTGCTGCAGGGGACTGTTGTGTGCACTGTAGATGTCTAGCTACAATCCTTGACTGACTAAATGCCAGCAGCTCCCACCCCAGCTGTGACAACCAAACACGTCTCCAGATATTACCAAATGACCCTAGGGGACAAAATCACTCCCGGTTGATAACCACTGGACTAGAGGAATTCCAAGAAGATCAAAAGAATTGTAACTGGAGGCGCTTGAGCAAGGTGTCATGGAAGAGGTGCAACTTGAGCTGGGTCTTGAAGGACTGGCTTGATGGAGAGATGAGGAATGTATAAGAATGTATGTACAGTAAAAGTATTTGCATGGTACACACTGCACAATCATACGGATGCATAAGGAAAAGAGGAGGATGGCGCAGCAATAACAGTGGGTGGCAGCTGAGCACAATAGTGGACAAAAGGAGAATGGAGAGCTTCAAATGCCCAGGAATTTATCATACATTATAAAAAATAATTGTATCACCAAAATAGATTGTTTTAAGGGATATGAGAATGATTTCCATTCTTCAATTAGATATATTCCATCATAAATTAGGAAGCCTCAGCCGGGTGCAGTGGCTCAAACCTGGAATCCCAGCACTTTGAAATTCCAAGGCAGGAGGATAGCTTAAGGCCAGGAGTCTGAAACCAGCCTGGACAGCATAGCAAGACCCTATCTAAAATAAAAAAAAGGAAGCTTCAGAAAAGTAAAATTCAGAGGAATCTAATCCATAGCAATAGTGTCCCTAATCTCTGTCCAATTACCTGGATCACTACACTGAGTTATGTTTCATCGGCACATGGTCTCCCAAAAATTGCAAATAAGTGATTCAGATCATTTGTGAACAGAGCCTCCAAGTCAGGTGGATATAACATTGATACAGTTATTCTCAGTAAAAAGCAAGAGAGAATTACAGTAAGAAACTGTGTGGTTCGGGACCAGGGAAACCCACAAATGTACATTTCAGAGGATAAACTGTAAAGTGTATGATGTTTGTCTTAGACAAGCCTCTTTTTGATCACAACCAACAGAAACTTTAACAGTAAATACAGTATAAGGATAAAGCACTCTCACAGATATAAAGAAGGCCAGGCCTGACGCCCTCAAGCCAAGACTTCCCATGGCTGCCTCGTCCCACACCCCACACAGCATGACCTCCACAAATTGGCTACAGATTGGCTTCCCTCAACTCAGGAGAATGTGAGGCTGCCCAGCCAGGGACTCTGAGTGTA